TCTCAAGTAGTCTCACCAGTAGTTGCATCCCACAAGATCTTCACCAATCCAGTGGACTTGCCCCTCAACTCCTTCAACTTCTTATTTTTGGCTACTCTAAGACCTCTAAACCTACAGATAGTCATCCTATGGTCTTCTAGGAGTCCTTCTGACTGACTTTCCTTCGATCTTTGAGAGTCTTCGAGTCTTATTTCCGACCCGGACAATTTTAGGGGTCTACAGCACATTATTGGACTTTTAAAAACCTTTTCTTTTTCCAATGTTTTGAGTAAAACATTGGTGGCGACTCCATGAACCTATTTTCAAAACCATTAATTAAGGATTAGTCTAGTGTCCGAACATTCCTTAATTGATGATATTTTCAAAAGGAAGTCTAAACCATAGGTCGCAAGATCAGAAATTTGAAGTTAATAAACGTTTTAAGAGGGTCAGGCCCAAATAAATGATGAAGTTAATAAAATAAGAATAAATAATTTAAATATTTTTCCCCTTTATCTTGTTTGTTTTCTTTGTTTGACTTTGATATCTATTTGCTTGTTTGAATTCCGCATATGTTTGAAATAACAATTGCACACAAACCTTTGCACACAACAGTTCCCCCTCCACCAAGGGGCATGAGGGTATTAAACATAGGGAGTGGTTGACGTACGACCGGCCCAAGTTTGGCCTTGGAGCCTGCGAGCCTTGTCGAAAATCACACTCAAGGTGATAACCAGTTACTCTAGCCTGAAATATTACGACAGACCTTAGAGTTTGCCAGGTGACAGCAACAGAGATACTAGGTCCCTATAATGGGGGCACCTTGGGGGCCTTAAGACCAGTGAGATTAGAACTGTCCTATACAATGCACTTTTCTTGCAGGGACCACAGACCAAGGATTTAAACGTGATTGTTTGCGGGTGTATAATGATTAAGCATGTGTGTGTGCATTTGTTTGCATTATTTGTTCTAATAAGAGTGGATTAAATTTTTAAAACAAGAAAATTGATAATAAAAATATAAAAAATAGAGAAATTTATACCCCTTTTGTACATTCTTAGGTCATCATATCATAGCATCATATAAGTAATTTCCTTTCCAAAAAAATATATGTATAATACCTTTAAAAAATATATGTATATTCGTATCATGCATCATATCTCATAGTTAATCAAAACATGATAAAGTTTAGGAAAAAAAATGGCATGCATTCTAGGTTATGATTAGGTAGTAGAAACATATAGAGAAAGTTAAGAAAAGTGAATGCTCTAATATACGACAAAGTCCAAATCGATTTTATAAAAAAAATACTATGGTTGGGCCTTTACTTTGATATGTTAATACTGTCAAAATCTATTTGAGCATTCACAAATAAACAAATCAATGAGACTGATATTTATTATTCTCAACTTTCTTTTCATTCTACATTGCATTCATTTAGAACATATCCTTCTTGAAAAAAGAATAAATGAGAATAAAAAGAGAAATCAACCTATGTGCGTTAGTCGGAAGTAATGAAAAGTGAGCCATGTATAAAGAGTTTAGGACAAAGAACTCCACAATCATCAAGATGCTAACTCTTGCCCTAAAAGGATAAAGTCGTGTCGTACAACCGTGAAATCCAAGCGGAATAGAACTTGAAGACGACGAATCCCTAAAACACTGAGTCAAAAGGAATAGAGCTTTCTTGAAAGATTATTTTAACAAGAGAGAAGCATTTCTTGTTAAGAAGCTGCTAGAATGAAAACTCGCAAAGGGCGTTCTAGGAAAAAAAATTAAAAGCAAAAAAAGCAATGTTTGTTTGAGCTGAAAATCGAGAGACAACTTGAATGTTCCTCTTAAGAAGCAAGACTCCATCGAAAGCTTTATCATCGCTTCTACCCATACCTACTTCTTAGGATATAGGCTGACAGCACCTTCATGAGAAAAAGCCAACAGATCTCCCGCTATACGAGATCTTATAAAGTGCTACATCCAAGCAAGTGGAGGACTAGTTCTATAGTCAGATCACCTAGGCCTGTCTAAGGGGCAACCTCCTTCTACTCCTCTGTGTATGAATCACGAACTTGGGGCATGCCCGGGCCCTCGAGCTACATTAAATGGGCACGTGTAAATTGAAAATTTTATTTTAATTTCATGCATTTTTCTACTTCATTTCTCTTCTCCCTTTCATCTACTTTAAGCCTCGTTAACAAACCCTAAGTGAGTAAGTACATTTGAAATAGGGACATCATTAGAAACAATAGCTTAATGCGCGATAAGGAACCCAAAGATCAATCAAATTTGACATGACTTGTGGATAAAAGTCCAAACGAAATCAGTGCAAGGGGCATCTCCCTTTAATGAAGGAATGAAAAATGATCACAAATGTTGCACAAAATAAAAGCCTGGCAGGAAACCCACTAAGAGGGTTGCGCAAAAATTAGTGCAAGGTCCGCTAGGAGACTCACAAACAAAAAGGGTAACCTAGGCAAAAGGAAGGATCGAAAAGGAAATGTTTGCTAGGAAACATATCTCAAGTTACCTACGCAAAAGTTAGGACAAAGCAACATCCCAAACTGAAAATCGAGAGGCAGTTTGGGAAGATCATTTCATCAATACGCAATCTCAAGTCATCCTTTAACTTTGAAAGAATACTAAGCTAATGCGGAAAATGATTTCCTTACCTTGAATGTGCTTGTTCATCAACCTAAACACTAGCCAACCTCGGCCAGCCGTTCTTCTAAAATCAAAAATAAAAAAAAAATCCTTTTAAAAACAAATCCTCTGAAAAACAAACCCTTTCTTTCTCTTTTCTTGACCGACATGGCATTAAGATAGTATTGAGAGATACACGGAATATGCACAGTGAACACTCACAGGGAAAAGTTGGAGGTGTCCTAGAACAAAGTCTAGGTACACCTGATCTAAGAGCTAAAATATCATATCCAATACAGGCTAGAAGGCCGAACTACACAAACCTCAAGAAGCAACACTTGGAATGAATTCGATAGGGCTAAAGGTTGACAATCCACACCATCGATTGATGCGCATAGATCAATTTCTTGAAAATAAAAAAAAAAATTCATTTTAAGCATTAGCATAGGGACATCATTGCATAGCATGCATATGGCACAAAGATGCACAAAAAGGGTATATATAAAAATAAAAAAAATAAAAAAAGATAAAAAATTAAAAAAATCCAATCCATTCCTACCTTGCATTTTCATGTGCATCCACGCATCCATACTCACCATGGGGCATCCACAACCATCCATCAACAATCAAACAATCAATCATCAATGAATGAAAAAGACTCCACAACAGATGCCTGGAGAGGCATCACAATACTCACATTGGCAGGGGAAACACCAGAATCTCTATCACCCATCTACTCCTTTCCCCATCAGCACAAGGACACCACCTACCAGCAATCCTCGTCCGCATCAAACGTCCTCCCCAAAGAAAAGGGGCAATCACATCATCATCACCAACAAGTAGCCTGGAGAGGCTAACCATAACAATACTTAGCATTCAGCAGGCAGCCTAGAGAGGCTAGCCATAGCAATACTCAGCATTCAACAGGCAGCCTGGAGAGGCCAAGCATAATAATACTCAGCATTCAACAAGCAGCCTGGAGAGGCTAGACATAATAATACTCACCATTCAACAAGCAACCTGGAGAGGTCAGGCATAATAATACTCACCATTCAGCAGGCAGCCTGGAGAGGCCACGCATAATAATACTCACCATTCAGCAGGTAGCCTGGAGAGGCCAACCATAATAATACTCAACATTTAGCAGGCAGCTTGGAGAGGCCAGCCATAACAATACTCAACATTTAGCAGACAGCCTGGAGAGACCAGGCATAACAACACTCAGTATTCAACAGGCAGCCTGGAGAGGCTAGGCATAATAATACTGCCATTCAGCAGGCACCACTCAGCAGGTAGCTTGGAGAGGCCAGGCATAACAATACTCACCATTCAGCAAGCAGCCTGGAGAGGCCAGGCATATTTTCCCTCGCAACCAGCTTCGCTAGTCCGTCGCAAATTTGTGTTGCTAATTCTTCGTTATTGCCTCGCAAATGTAGAACCTAAATTCCCTCGCTAATTGTATTTAATATTTCCTCGCTAATCGTTCGCCACTCCGTCGCAATTATCCCTCGCGATATTGTCGCTAATTCCTCGCAACGCTGTAGCAATATATCAAAGATGTCCCTCGCAAATCCCTCGCTAACCCCTCGCAAAGATGTCCCTCGCAAATCCCTCGCTAAACCCTCACAAATATGTCCCTTACAAATCCCTCGCTAAACCCTCGCAAATATGTCCCTCGCTAATCCCTCGCTAATCTCACGCAAATATATCAAAGCATATGGATTGAATTCCCTCGCGAATACCACGCTAATCCCTCACGAAACTTTCACAACATATCTTTTGAGTTTCCTCGCGAATCCATCGCTAATATCTCGCGAAACCTTCCTAATTTATCTATATATACATTATTCTCTCATGAATCCATGTAAATATGCCACTTAATTTGATATTTTAAATAAATCTAAATCAACTACATAATTTTTTTTCAATTCGACATGATTTAAAATAAAAGTTGCATGTGACAATATCTTTTACAAAACCAAATTATTAAATGTCTTACAAAATCTAACTTGTGCATACTATCTTAAAGAAACTCAAACTAATTAATGTCTTACAAAAAGAAAAGCCAAATAACGAATCATCCTAAATAGTAATCAACCTAAGCTAGTAAAATCATCATCTCGTCCTTGATCCTCCCTATGTTGGTTGGTTGATGGTGTTGTTGATGGTTGAACTGCTTGAATTATTTGCCTCATCATCTTTGATAATTGTGTTTGCAAAAAAGAGGCCAATGCATTATTTATAACTGTAGTGACCCGTTCTTCTGTCATAGGCGTAAGATTTGTAGAGGAACCTGCAACCTCTGGAGATGAAGCTTGGGTAGAGCTACTAGTTCCAAGATCCAAGCTATGTCCCATGCCATGCACTCTTTTCTTCTTGTTTTCACCTGCAGCTTTTAACCAAAGATCAGAATCAATTACAGGATGAGATGAAGTGTCTTCTCCATATTTTTGTGTCATTGATTCTTCATATGTTTCCTACAAATAATAAATATAAAAAAATAAGTGAAATAGTAAGAGATTAAAAAATTACATAATCAGTCTTAAAATATAAAATAACATACAATAAATTTCTTTGCCCTAGTTGAGACAAATTCACCATCATTTTTTTTGTGAACTTTGTTATACACTTCACGATAAGAAACAGGACGATTCTCTTGTGCCTCCTGTAAAAAAATTACAGTACAAATTGTAAGTAATGAAATTTACCAAAGAAACTCATTAATTTTCAAAACCTTCAACTTTCACAACTTGTTAAAGAATTAAAAAAAAAACTGCACTTAAAAAAAATCCATGGATAAAGATTTTTAAGACATCATTAATAACACAATTTTAATTGTAACAAATTCCAAATATTAGAATAGGAATAAAGCAAACATCACT